AACAGCTACGGAGATGGCTAATTTAGGTCTATTATTAAACGAGTGGAGCACGGTGGTGGCTGCAGAGGCCACAGCCTCAGGCAAGGCGGCGCTGATTTTGACGGCAGCGGTTTCATTTGCACCAACTGTGAATGATTTGAAATACCCAGTTCAGTCCATAAACAGCAACCTGGATTGGATCAATGTAATGGCGTATGACTTTTATGACCCCTCTTGGTACAAATTTACCAACTCACACGCTGCACTCTACGATCCGTCAGGCCAAGTCAGTGGCAGCTATGGTATTGGGGCTTGGACTCAGGCTGGCGTAAGAGCGACAAAACTGGTTCTTGGCATGCCATTTTATGGGTACGCTTGGCGTTTGGTGAATGCCAACAACCACGGCCTATTGGCACCAGCGAATGGCCCTGCAAGTGCTGATAATGGGGCCATGGGTTACAGATAAATCAAGAACTTTATTGCACAAAACAAAGCCGTAACTGTTTACAATTCAACTATTGTACCCAATTACTGCTATGCTGGAACTACATGGATAGGATTTGATGATACTCAAAAGTCAAACCATTGCCGCCAAGGTTTCGTATGCTAAGCAAAAAGGGTTGCTCGGTTACTTTTCATGGCATGTTGGAGTTGATAACAATTGGGCTCCCTCTCAACAAGGTCAGTATCTCGATCTTTTAATAAACATGTTTCTCTTTTGGTAAATGGTAAGTGGAGTTAGACAATACTAGGCAACGTCAAAGAAACAAGAGAATCTAAAATATCCACAATTGAACTTGACGAGTACTTCAACTAATCTAGTGTTATAGAATAAGCCTTAAAGGCAGTCATATTGAATATTGAATAACATTACTAATATGTTTAGCCTGATCAGTTTCCTGTTCTTGTTTGAAATGAAAAGACTTGACTGAGTAATCACTCTTTATAACAACTAGGCGCTAGCCAAGGTTGATTCACCCTAGATGCGTCAAGTGACTCAATTGCGAGCACAATCCGCAATTTTTAATGGGCTAAACCATTAAGAAAATGTTGATGTCAGGTGACTCTTCACATATTCTTATGGACAAGAAATTTAAAGGCATAATTCAGAAAATGAAATTGAAACCCAAAAATAAAAAATAAAAATGGAGAAGAAAAATACCTATTCTGCTTGACAGGAAGAAGCGAGCATTTGAAATTAAAAATGAATTTTCACGTTTTTTATATTTT